TGATTATCATAAGCAATAATGATACAGGAGTCCACGAGCTTAAGATATACTTGGGGCAGCAATTTGAAATGAAGAATCTTGGTAACTTGATCTATTTTCTTGGACTTGAGGTCCATCATAGGAGAGATGGTATCTCTCTCTCTCAGGTCAAGTATGCTATTGATTTGATATCTCGAGCTCATTTTTTTGATGAGGAGGTTGAAAATACTCCTATTGAGCCAAATGTTCACTATACTTCCACTGATGGCACCTTGTTGGATAATCCCACCCATTATTGCCAGTTGGTTAGGGGTCTCATCTATCTTACTGTGACCCGCCCTGACATTGCTTATGCTGTCCACATTGTTAGTCAATTCATGTCAAAGCCTCAAACTACTCATTATGCAGCAGTTCTTTAGATCCTTCGGTACATCAGAGGCACTCTATATCATGGGTTTTATTTATCTGCTAGCTCTTCTCTTACACTACGAGCTTACTCGGACGCCGATTGGGGTGGTGATCGTGATGATCGACGATCTACGACTGATTTCTGTATCTTCATCGGCCATTCCCTCATTTCTTGGAGAAGTAAGAAGCAGACGTTAGCCTCCTGCTCCAGTGCTGAATCAGAATACCGTGCACTAGCAGACACAACCGCTGAAGTACTTTGGCTTCTTTGGTTACTTGATGGGCTAGGAGCATCTCAAAGCTCTTCCACAAACATCTATTGTGACAGTCAAGCTGCAATCAAGATTGCTCACAATGATGTGTTTCATGAACAAACCAAACATATTAAGATTGACTGCCACTTCACTCGGCAGCATGTTGTTAAGGGCACCATTCAACTTGTTCCAATTCAAACCAAGTATCAACTGACAGACTTGTTTACAAAGTCTTTTAATCTAGGCTGCTTTCATTTTTTGGTAGACAAACTCAAGTTGCTCTCGGTTAAACCATCTTGAGTTTCAGGGGAATGTTATCTAGAATATTCTCCAAATACTTTATCATTATTGTATATATATCTCAATCATTATTAGGAGATATTATTTGATATTATTATGTAATTATTAATCATTATTAGGTAGTCTTTTTCTTGATGTATATATTGTACCCTTCAATTCAATAATAGACAAGATATTTTCTCCATATTTCTCTTGCTCCTTTCAAATTTTTAAGGGATAATTTCTATATTATTTGTCATGATTAAAATATTTTTATTGAAATTATATTATTTAAAAGAAATTTGGAGAAACAGTGGGAATTTGATTTTTTTTTTTTTTTTGGAGAATTGCATCAAAAGCGAGCAAAATTTTTTCAAGAATCTTTTCAACAAAGAAAAGGTCAAACACATCACGATCAGCCACGTTTCTTTTGCCAAAAATGATCAGATTCCGATATTCCATCCATTATCCAATGTACCTATGTTACATTATCACACGTTTAAATCCCACTCAATATAATTAATAATTTTTAAATTTAATGATAATTGTTTTTAATAGAATGACAACACATTAAATTATCATTTTCTTTTATGTGTTGTCATTTTTCTGACACTCAATTATTAATGAAGTTAAAAATAATTAATTACTTCCTCAATTTAAAAATATAAATATTTTTTAGATTTTAATTGTTTAAAAATATAAAAATTTTTAATATTTTAAGAGATAATTATTATGTTTTTTTAAATACCCCTATAAATATATTATTTTATATTTATTTTAAAGTAAAATACTTTATTCAAAAGGACAAATATAGAAAGATGGTACTCACTTCGTCCCAACGTTTTAAATTATAAGATACTTTTAGATAAAATTTCATATACTAACAGAGTTCATTAAATATACTTATAACTTTACTTTTTTAAGACAAAAATATAAAATTTTAAAAATACCCTTCATTTAATATTTCATTAATAAAAAATATTGAAATGAGAGAATATATGAGAAGGATAATATTAAAAAAATATAATTAATGAAACTTTATTTTTATTAAAGTGTCTTATATTTTGAGATGTTAAATTTTCTCTAAAAATTTTTTATAATTTAAAATAAAAAGAGTATTAATTTAAAATTAAATAATTATTTTATTCAAGTAAAGTTTAATTAAAAATATTTTATAATTTTAAATAAAGAGTGTAAAATCAACCTTCTTATAATAACTCTTTTTTACCACTCAGCTTCACGCGGGATCAATAATTGCAAGGTATTCGGATGCCAAGAAAACAAAAAAATATAACTTTAGCATCAAAGTCGTACACAAGTTTCACGTGATCCCTTAGCTGTCATATCAATAGTGAAATTAGAAAATTAAGGCTATTGGCCCAAGCCAAGTTTCAACTATTTTTTTTTTAAAGAATCATAAAATATTACTAATAATAAAAACGTTTACAAAGACAAATCAAACTCGACCACCAAAACACCAATAAAAAAGTATGATAATAATAAAAATTATTTTTTATATCAAAAACACATACACAACAAGAAATTTTAAAGTAATTTGTACAGAAAAAAATAAATTTTTGTTCATATTTCTAAAAATTGATAGATATTTTTGCTTTTTAATTATTCATTCAGGAACGCATAATATCCTAAATTTTTATGAGGTAAAATTTTGCTCTTCAACTTTTAAAATTAATGCATTGGACATCTTATCATTAAAAAAGTTAATTTTAACTATTAGTTGACATAAAACATTATAAAAAAAGAACCTAAAAAATTATAAAAAAAAGGACTCATAAAATTATAATAAATATTATATAAGAAAATTAATATTGATTAAATTCTTAAAATAATAGTTAGTCAAAATTATATTTTAGCCTCTTATGAGAATAAGAAATAATATATTTATATCACATTTTTTATCAAATAAATATTTATATCATGTTATCATGTTATGTATATGTAAATTAGAAGACATAATTAATATTAATTTTTTATGAGTGCTTATGTGTAATTTTATGGGTTTTTAGGTAATTTTTGAGATTTTTTTTGCAATTTTTAAATCAATCAATGTTTAACTTTTTTTTAATAGTATTGTGTCTAGTGCATCATTTTTAAATATTAAAGGATAAAATATATCACATAAAAATTTATGATATCAGATATTTTTAAGCAAATGGTTAAGGGGAAAAATTTTTCTTTAATCCTCCTTTTAATATGGACAGAATAAGAAATTCTAAAATAAAGCAAGGAAATTCAAATTATGGAACTAACAAGTGTTTTAAACATTTGTAAAAAATTTTTTGGAATAAAAAATAACATGTTGTTACTTGAAAAACTTCTAACATGCTGGTTCATGAGATAATGCTGAAATAAAATATGCTATTTCAATAGCCTTACTAGCTTCATCTTGGTTACTCGAGATAAAAATTTAATAAATTATGTTATTCTCATATATTAATTTAAAAATTTAAATAAACTATATAAATAAAGTTAAAAAAAATTATACTCCCTCTAGTCTCATTTATAAGGAATATTCTAGAAGATTAATTTGGCCCCATTTATAAGTTATAGCACATTTTTTAGGTAATATTTAAAAGATATTTTTAAAATTAACATTTATAAAAGAAAAAAATAACATGACATTATTTTTTAAATTTATTATATAAGAGCATATATTAAATTTTACATGCTTTTATTTATTATACATTTTTATATTGATATTAATAAAATTAATAAAAATAATTTATAAATAGGACCAAAGAAATAAAGACTAAGTAATTACTTTAAACCTTTTTTTTATAGAGTTTATAAGGATAGGAGCTAGAGCACTTTTATACCAAAAACTCTCTATCTTTTCAAAGCCAATCCTTAAAAAATTAGAAGGCTTAAAAGGTAACCCCTTCATATCCAACCCCTATTGGCCACACTACTAAAGTTGCAAGTGTGTGACAGCCAATTTTTTATTTAATTATTTTATTTTAAATATTATAAATATATTTTTTAAATAATTTCAAGGCTAATAAAATTTTTGGTTTCTTAAATTTGTTTTAATTAGATATTGGTTTGGTTTCTATAGTTTTAACTATATTAATGAAGTTTTAAAAATTTTATAATCATAAAAAATTAGTCCTTATATTCTAAATGGAAAATAACAAAATAAGTGGTAATTGTATATGAATATAAAAATTTAAATATCTGATTGATATAGTTTAAATTTCATGAATCGAATCAGTAATAAGACAAATATAAAGAATAAAAAATTTCATCATACCATACTTTTATAATTGGTAAAAATTTTCAATATTAAAAATCATTAAAAACTTTTTAAATCATACTAAAAATATATTTTCATGATTATCAATAATAACGACAATGGAAATTAAAAAATAATAATTTATTCATATTTTTACTTACTACTAGATATGCATAAATTGAAGAAGAGCGTTAAATATAGGCAATTAACATTAACCATAACTCCCCTAGAGCAGAAGGTAGGTTGGCTCCTGTTTAGAAGATTAGTGTGTAGAACACTAACAACCATTGTACATAAAGTAAATTACTGAGTATGCATATTGGTTATTCTATAGATTTTTTTTAAAATTTTATTGCATCATAGTAATACATATATAAATTACGTTTTAATCATAATAATTTGGGTAAAGTTTTTATTGCACATTATATTTTAATAATAACTTATTTACAACATAAATTTCTGAGTTTGCGATACAAGCCCATCTCTCCTCCTGTACGCATTTAGTTTAAAATTTGATGTTTTTTAGTAGAAAAAATTGATTTCAATAACGTTCCCAAGAGCGGCAGAAAAAAAGATGACACAGTAATGAAATTATTGTCCGTTTGAAAAGCACTCAAACATAAAACTAATAAATTAAAGGAGCTGTGGTGTTGTCGACCAAATATCTGATAATGAAATTAGTGTCCTTTCGAAAAAGTGCCAAGCGTGATTCTGGCACTGTAAAACTTCTGAAAAGTGACACGTGACTGTGTTTAATTAAAAAAAGCACTTTTTCACTGTAAATGTGAGTGCATGTGTGTGTATAAATATGCCTGTCTGGTTCAGTTTCTGAAATCATATTTGGGGCCTATAACGATCGAAGAGCATAAGCAAAACCCATCTCTGGCCTTTATCTTCGGTGATGGCATTGGCTACAACTTTTCTCAGCTCTACTATCAAGGTAATGGCTATCATTGTTTCAAGCACTTTTGCAAGCATCTTTATCCAAAATGCATGTTAAGATGCGTTGTCCGTTGAGATTTGTTTCGTTGAGATTTATACACTTTATTATGATATATTATCTATTAAAATTTATTTTATTAAGATTTAAGGGATATTTTATATTCATTAGTCATTATTGAGATATCAATTAGTTATTATTAATATGATTTATATATTGTAAACTTTTCATATATGTGAGAGTTAGTTGTGCCATAAAATACTTCTATGCAAATACACGAACCTGGTTTTGAGTTCACAGCAAATACACCAAATAGAAGAGAGAAAAAGAGAGCATGGAAGGTTTCTCAGTCCCAACACTGAATATCCTCCCCATAAGAAATTAGAGTCACAGATGAGCCAAACTTATTTAAATTAAATTTAAAATATTTAAATATATAAAAAATTCGCATTGTCAACCTTGATTTTAATAATTTGGGTTTATAAAGGTTGACCTAAATATTTAAATTATTAAATATTATTTTATTTTTTTTTAACTAATTGCAACATGCCTTTGATGTGATGGCTATTAGCCTAATTTATTTTTATTTTTATTTTTATTTGCTTTATCTTCAATCTTTTACTTACCGTAGCCTAATAGTAGAAGATAAGGCAACGCGCATGCGGCGGTCACCACTCATTTACTCGAAATAAATATTGGGGTATATTATAGTCAAGGACCCTCATGTTCTTCCCTAATTAATTTGAGCCTCGAATATGCAACGTAGGCTTGGGCCAACTGTATAGATCTACTACCAAGGGTGGACTCCATGTCAAAAGCCAGCAATATTAATAAAGTACTAACTTATTCAAGCCTTCTAGCTTCTTTCATTAATTAGATCTCAAAAAAAAAAAAATTTAATAGATAATATATCATAATAATATGCACAAATCTCAACATATATAATAAATATCAATATCAATAGATAATATATCACAACATTCATACATTCTTATTCTAGTTATTACAGTATGTGCTTGTAATTAATGTCTACGTTTCTCATTATGGTGTTTTTAGAGCACAAATGACGGAAATACATGGAAGAGCTTGGGATTTATCAAGCCGGCCAATTTGAAGCCGAACCAACAAATCCAAACAAAGCGGTTCAAAGTAAATTGTTTAATCCGTACAGATCAAAAGTTGACTGAGACCAAAACGGTGACTTTGGTGGAGAGTGTTGAACCGAGCACTAATGGGGTTGTGACTAGGGGTTTGTGATACATTTCTTGTGTCGATATAGTGTGTGTTTGGATATGCTAATGATTGATTTTTTTACTAAAAAAATTGATTTTTCTGAGTTGGTATCCAAACGCATGGAAAAGCATTTAATCAATTTTTTTGGTTAAAATGGATTTTTTTTAAAAAGCTGGCAATTCGGGCTTCTGTGAAAAATCAAAAAGCATTGGAAAAAATTATAAAGAAAGACCCAAAAAAAATTATAAGAAAGGTACAAGATTTAATAAAAATAAAATCAAATTTTTTTCTTTTCTTTTTCTTCTCTTTTTTTTTATGTAAAATTCAAACTTTAAATTTTTAAAAAGTTGGTAATGTAAGTTTTTATTAACTACCACTCTCTACTTAGCACTTATTATAAAACTAATTTAAATAAAATATTAATTGATAGATGAAAATTAATTTGTATATTATCATCTTTATTAGTTATTGTAAAATTGATATTTGATATTTAAAAATTAAATCTTTCTCTTTTGATAAATTTATTTAGATTGAGATATATTGAGTTAATTATTTACGTAAACTGAATTGTTAATATTAATATAATTTAAATTTTTATAATTAATTAGATATACAATTTAAATAATATATTTTACTTCTTAAATAAAATGTAACAACTTTAATAATATTATATATAAATTTATCAATAATTTAATTTTAAAAGGCAACGTCTTTTATAGTAATTAATTCTAAATAAATTATCCAAATATGTTCAATTATGTTAAAATTAATTTTAAAAAAAATAGTATTCAAATATATTACGTTATAACATAATCAATTATGATTAAAATTTATCATTTAATTAATTATTTTTATAATTCATTATACTCAATTAAAATCCAAACGCATACATATTTTGTGTGTGCATGTGCGTGTGTATGATTTTTTTATTTTTTATATGTTAATAATTTTAGCTTCTATTTAATTTGCAGATCTACAGACAAGCGAGCCTAGTATGTCAACATTGGTTGTGAGTTACCATAATGACTTTGATCCTTTTAAGGCAACCTCTACACCAATTTATCAAACTGCTTCCTTTAAAATGGTACGTGAAAAGTTTATCTATACAAGTTGAATTGTTTTTAATTAGTAATTATGTATTTAGTTTCCGTATTCCATGATATTCTCTTCATATTGTGCTTGTCCCCTGTATACTTTTTTCAAGCAGCCTTCTGCAACAAAAGGTGGAGAATATATGTATTCTAGAAGTGGAAATCCTACCCTTGATACTTTTGAAAGGTTTGACCTAATAATTTATTGTCTAGATTTTGTTCTTTCTTTTTATTAGATTATTTAAGTGTAAGTAGAGTTAAGTTAATATGAGAGGTTTCATATTTAATAAAAATAAATTTAATAATTAATATAAAATAAAAAAAAGTGTCCTTTTATTACTCTTTACCTGTTTCCTGTTTTCAGTTGCTCGCTCCCCATTTCTAACACTTCTTAATTCTTAATTTCCATCCTCTTGTACTTGGCATGTATATTTTGGATCTTCAGGTTACTAGCAAAGCTGGACAATGCAACTCATGCCTTTGGCTTTGCAAGTGGACTGTCTGCTTTGACTGCTGTTTCTGAACTCGTTAAACTCGGTGGGTGCATTTCCTCATCTTGGGGCGGCTTCGGTTCCTATTGCCATTTTTTGTAATCCAGTTTTCATAATTATTTTTTAAAACAAAATAAAATGAATTTTTGTTTGGTTATGTTAATTTAAAAATATTTTTAGAATTGAAAAATAAGCTCATAGTAATGGCTGCAGGCAGTTAATGATGATAGTTTATGATAGAAATTAGTAAAACTAATTATATTTTTTAATAATCAAATATAGTATCTTATGAAAATAAGAAAAATAAAATAAAAATAACTCTAAGATGCTTCCATTTTATTAAAATGAAAACAGTTTTAAAAATAGTTAAATCCTAAACACTTATTCAAATATTTTTTCTATTTTTTATTTTTTAAAAATCACATATAAGAATTTCTGTAGAAAATTATTTGCACACAAGGACTAATATGATTTTTTTTTTGGTTAAAATGGGAACAAAGACTTGTTTTTTTTCCTCAAATGTGATTTGTTATTAGTTTTTATTTATAAATAATTTTTTAGAGCAGTCCTTTTATGTGATTTCCCCTTTTGAAAAACAAAAAATAGTTTTTCAAAACATGAACCAAACAAGTCCTTACTCTTTCTTTCTTTCTTTGTTTTTTTTGTAACTCAATGCTTATACAAGTATTTAGTGAGGGCCTAATTAATTGTGATCAATCATAATTATCAGTCAATCAACCAAAATTCTCATCATATCCAATATTTCCCTTTGACAATGTCTGCTGGAATGATATCTTTTTATTGTCATTTTCTTATATGATTTCAAGGCAGGCGAAGAAATCATTGCTGGAGAGGATATTTATGGTGGCTCATATAAATTCTTGATTGAACTAGTTGCAAGAAAGCAAGGAGTCGAAGTGAAGTATGTGTGACTTTTCAACTTTTTGGATATGTTTTCCGATCCAATACGTTAAACTATAGAACGATTTATTTTCAAATAACCATTATATATTTGAAAACTATATAATGTTTATTTTCAAAAAATTGTTATATAATTGGCTAAAAGATTCCTATAAGCTAAAATTGGAACAAACTATATAAAGGACTTCAATTATATAGTGATTATATATTTGTTTGGGAAATATATAGCTAAAATATACAGTAGTTAAAAATTGTTATATATTGGCAAAAATAAACATAATATATGCCTAAATTTTTTTAATTTGTAAAATAGTGCGTAGAGTAATGGATTATGAAAACAAATTCTTGTTGGATATTGATTCCTAGAAGTATATAGCCTATGGTAATGATAAGGTTGTAATGCTTGCATGTACAGCCGCATAGACCTAACTGATCTAGACAAGGTGAAAACTGCTCTTGCACGTGGCATGACTAAGTTAGTGTGGCTAGAGACTCTGAGCAACCCGCAAATAAGAGTACCTGATATTCGGGTAAGCCATTTTATGGTATTAAAACTCAATTCAAGTTAGCGGGTTAGATCAATTAATTATTGGTGAACTTGTTCTCTCTAGACAGTAAAGTCAATTGTTTTGGACGGACCCACTAATATACCGTGTTGGATTTTATATTTTTTTTCTTCTCCTTGTTAAGATTGAAATGACATTATTTTGAGTTAAAAAAATAGAAATCCATTGTATTTGTTTTTCTAGTAACTCTAATTTTAGTAAATGTTCTATTTATTTGTGAATTAATGGCTTTTTATTTAAATATTACCTTTTTCAGGTTAAATATGTATATTTTAACTAAATTATATTTTTTTAATTATGATTGGGTTGGCCTTTATTCATCCATGCAGTTGGACATCTCAATCAGCTCGACGACATGTTTGATTTTTAGTACCTTAATTTTTTTTAATTTTTTTGTCTTCTACTTCAGCTATATATTAATTAATAAAGGTTTATCAATAGTTTTTTCTTAAGTACTTTTACCTCTTCTTTGCATAAGAAGTAATGGCTTATATGTCTATATAATTCTTAAGGAAAATTGTACATATGAAATTTTTTGGAGGAAGTATCAAATATTGAAGGTAATTAAAAGTGCATTGAAGATCTGCAATTGATCTTCAAGAACAATCAATATAAATTCTTGAAAAATCTCTTGAAACTTAATAGCAGATTTTAGAATTTATCTCAGATGATTTTCAAGTGTTGGCCCCTTCTTCCAAATTATTTTTTTCCTCGTATGTGTTTAGTTCTTATACGGGCCCAACTTCATGAAATAATACGCATTATAAGAACTTGCCCTATAGAATTCTTTAGAAATTTTTATATGTTGGAAAATAATTTCATTCATTATATTGAATTTTGTCCGTCAGGCAATATCGAAGCTCGCTCATGAACATGGAGCCATTGTGTTTGTGGACAATAGTATAATGTCTCCTGTGTTATGTCAGCCATTGGAACTTGGAGCAGGTATTCATATCACACTTGCAAATATAGTGGATTATATATATATTTAACAAATTTATATCATGCTTTTTAATTACTATTTTTATTATTTTTCCAGATATTGTTATGCATTCAGCTACCAAATTTATTGCCGGAAATAGTAGTGTCTTGGGTGGTGTCGTTGCAACGAAAAGTGACGAGTATGTACTGAGCCATTTTATTCAATCTGTTGATTATAAATTTTGGGAATTTTTGAATCGAATTTCAATATAATAGAAAAATTTGCTGACAATCAAGTATGTGATACATAACATTTTATGTTCTTGTGATCCTTTTTATCATTGAGAATGAAAGAATACTTTTATTGATCTTTCATAACCCAACTTTCTAATGCACTTACAAATAAATTAAAATAAGACACACACACACACACACACACTATATATATATATATATATATAATTTTGTATCTTGATGTATAGCTTTGAATTCTTCTGGATTTTTTAATGAAATTGTGCAGTATTAATTTTTTTTCATATGAAAATCCTTTTAAAAAAATTACTCTGGACTTCAAGATACCATAATTTATTGGAAAAATAATAATAAATCCCTCTAAAATATGTACATAATAATTTAGTCCCTCAAAATGCCATAATTTCTCAAAAGTCCCTAAGAACTTTTCTGTTATTAATAAATTTATATAAATTACCAAATTGCTCTTGCTAAAAATAAATAATTCACAAATTTTGTTTAAAAATTCAAAATTTTTTTTCATATTCGCAACAATGCAACAGTAAATAAAGAATTTAACATATGAAGTTGTGATTTGCTGTTGCATTGTTGCGAATATAAAAAAAAAGTTGTAAATATTTAAATAAAATTTGTGATTTTTTTTCAACAAGATCAATTTGGTAATTTATATAAGTTTATTAATGACAGAAAAGTCTTTAGGGACTTTTAAAAAATTATGACATTTTAAGGGACCAAATTATCATGTACATATTTTAGAGGAATTTTATTGTCATTTTTCCTAATTTATTTCTTTTCAGCTCATTATAAGAAAAAAAGGAAAAAAATTTGAGAATTGAGGATAAGGCATTAGAGGTCATAAAATGATCTGTTCATGTGTTAAGTTTGTTATATTATGTAGTGAACTATTTGTAATTGTATATTTAATTTCATTTCTCAATCTTTTTTTGGCTTTGATCACATCTTGTAAAGGTTGGCGGAGCAGCTGAAGTTTTTCAGAAATGCAATGGGTTGTGCCTTATCTCCATTTGACTCTTGGCTCTGTTTGGAAGGAATCAAAACATTGGTCCTACGAATTGAGAAAAAAGAGGTAGTCTAGAAACATTATTTTGGATGTTAAAAGTTTAGTTGAATTAGGTTTCAGGGCTCATCGGTGCTAGGACACATACCTCTTGGTTCAAAAAATGCTTACAAAAGTACTTATATATAGATTGCTTACCATCAAGATTCTCACATTAACAGCAAAATTTGAACCCATAATTTTGTTGGTAATGGGACAAATTCTTACCAAATGAATCAATCTTTTTTGGCCTCAAGAAACATCATTTATTAAGTTCTAAACATAGAAAACTCCTTTAAATTTTGATATAATTGCATAGAACTCCCTCTACTTTTAAAAGTTTAAAATTAACCTTTTTAACCTTTTATTTTTTCATTATAGGCTTCACTTTTTTTATTTCTTAGTTATATTACTAGTAGAAATTATCATATTAAGGAAAGACATGTAGTAGCTTATGTGAGATGTAATTGAAGGTAATAATAGCTTTATAAAAGTCCATATGGATTGCATGACACATTTTGCAAACTGAAACAGAAAGTATAACAAATACACTTTCAAAAGTAAAAATGTGTTTTTGATGTTAAAAGTGAAAACCAAACATCATGGCCTTCGTTGGCATTGAGCAACATCCTTTTGATAAATTGGTTTGTTTACATAGCCATTTGTTAAAAATTATCTATACTTTTACAATATAAAATAAAGAAAACTTTTAGGGAGACTTGTTAATGTTCTAAATTAATGGTTTAAAATTTTTGCTATAAGCTATTTTTATTCAATCACTTCATTGGATTCGATGTGAGTCCTGTCCCATGGATTTTTTTTAAGGCAAAATATTTATATATGTACACAATTTGCAGGAGAATGCACGAAAGGTTGCTGAGTATCTTAACTCCCATCCTAGTGTAAAAAAAGTCAACTATGTTGGTTTTGCTAGTAATCCTGGACATGCCGTGCACTTTTCTCAGGTATAATTTACCTACTAAAATTTAATATTAATTTTTTCTAATATATATGCACAAAATGACTTTAGTTACCCATTCATCCATCGATTTCTTGTTTCGCAGGCAAAAGGGGCAGGATCTGTGCTTAGCTTTGAAACAGGCTCACTGCCGCTCTCACAGCATGTTTGTGAAAATACAAAATACTTTGGCATGGCTGTTAGTTTTGGTGAGTATTTTTGGGAATATACATTGTCACGTAAATTGGAAGTTATCTATCTACACACACACACACACAAACTCTTTCGTTCTCTAAAGAGTTATCTATCTTAGTTAACCAAAATGGTATAAGTTGGGAGAGCGGGATATAGAGAATCAGGTGGCGCCAAGTTATAGTAAGGGGGTGCCAGGGCATGCAAATTTTGCAGCTTTGTATCTCCTACACTTTTTGCACCTTTTCAGACTAAATAAAAAATGTTTGAGCTCAAAAAGTTATGAGATTTGTAATATTTTAATAATCAAAATAAAAAATAAAAAGTATATTATTTGCATAAAGAGACCATATTAGCTTGTTTAATATAATTTTTCAAAAGGAAAAATGATAATTGATCTACTTATATTATTATAATTTTAGCCCTAGTGTAATTATGATTTTTAAAAATTATTAATTTTTAAATCAAACTATCTTGCACTCATTGCATTTGGGTCCTAGCTCTGCCACTTGATAGAATTCTATATGGTTTCCGTTCTAAACATGTAATTTTTCTAGTCATGGATCATTAACTGTTCGTATATCATAGTTTGTGCATGTTCTCAAAAAGGCTATCTCCTGTCAATTTTATTTATTTATTTATTTATTTTTGCTATTTTTAGGGGGTGTGGGTTCTGCAATTTGTTTGCCCTGGTTTTCATCCCAAGCTGGCATACCTGAAGCAGAGCGTGAATCTATGGGCATAACTCAAGATCTTGTGCGTCTTTCTGTGGGGATTGAGGATGCTGATGATCTTGTTAATGATCTAGCACAAGCATTCTCGTCTTATGCCTCTGAACTTCCCTATTGGTTTTGAGTGAGGATGCTGAGCACTAGCGCCCCCCCCCCCCCCCCAAAAAAAAAAAACTTTCTAAAAATGAGCGTTAAAGTGCCCCAGAAATAAGAAATAAAAAAGGAGAAATAAATGGAATTTCTAAACCGGTTTGTATGCCACAGCCAGTTTAGAAAGGCTTGCTTCTTGGAATTTCATGATATTTTTGGCTATGTCAAGACTTCAAATTTGCGACTTGGAATTTCTGTACTCTATATCTTTCATATTTGTTGAGTGAGGATGTTGGTGATCGATTTGGCAGTTCTATTAATGATGGTTTGGTGTTTTTATTATTTTGTGCTTGTATATTTGCCTTCCTCTCTACCTCCTCACTTAATTTAATAATTTTAAGGTTTTATTTGGCATGCGTCGTGAAAATTTAAACCCATTAGGATTCCGTTTGGTTTATATTATAAAAAAATAATGGTTTTTTAAAAACAAAAAAAGGAAAAAATTTTAGTGAGGGAACATTGACCAAACATAATGAGAAAAAAGATTCCTGAATTTTTAAAATTTTACTGAAGGACTTGTATGGAATTTCTGCTGAATTTGTGATGAAAATGACAGTGTTGCATTAATTTAAATGACCAACATAAATGACTTATTTGTTTTTATACTTCATATTATTTATTTACTTATGAAATATTGTTCATTTCCTTACTTCACTTGTTTATAGATCTAATTTCACTTGATTCCATTCTAAATATTGGTTTCATGATAAGATAACTTATTTGTTCTTATATTATATATTGTTCATTTATTTATATAATATTGTTCATTTACCTACTTTACTTATTTATGGCCCTAAAACGAAATCAATTGAAAGTAAATCTATAAACAAGTGAAAGAAAATAAGTCTATAAACAAGTGAAGTAGGAAAATAAATAATATTTGATAATTAAGTAAATGAAATATACATAATGCGAATGAACAAGTTATTTATATTATTTATTTAAATGAGAGCAATTTTATCATTTTTATCACAAATTCAAACGATATTCCCTGCGGGTTTTTAAGTAAAATTTCAAAAATTTAGGAGTCCTCTTTTTTATAATGTTTAGTCAAGTGTCCTTCACTGAATTTTTTTCATAAAAAACTTGTTTGGATAAGTGTTTTAAATTTAATTATTTTTAGAACTGTTCTCATTTTTTTAAAAAATGAAAATATCTTAAAGCTGTTTTCATTTTATTTTTCTTGTTTTCAAAATTTCTTATATTTAATTATTAGAAATATAGTCACCTTGACCAATTACTATAAAATGCTGCCACCATTAATTTTAAAACTGGATTTAAAATTAATATAATGAAACATATTTTTTTAATGTTTTCAAAAACAATTTTAAGCACTGTATTGTAAAAAATTTTTAAAAACGAAAAATAGAAACATAACCAAATATGTCCTAAGTAACCGCGCACTTTTTTTTTTAAAAAAAAAATCATGTAATGGTGCACTTTACTTAAATAGAAATTGAATGCCTACAAATCATTATTAAACTAAATATAATAATGATAATATAATTCCTTTTATTAATAAAAGGTTGTGTATAGTGGAATAGGCTAGATAGACTCTCACAACATTGTGAACTAATGTTTGAATTTTCATTAAGAGAGATGCTTATATTTAGTACCTGACCATGCATTAACACGAGGAGGATACTTGTAAGCAACAAAAAAAAAAAAATATTGAATACAATATCTATACATTAAACGTTTGGTTTTTGGCACAATCACTAGTAGATGTGTATGTCAATGAATAATATGAACTCCATGGGAAATTGTTTCTATCCATCTTAAGGTAAAGAGTGTATATTATTCCTTTGTTAGACCATCACTCTAGAATTTTGCGCTTTTTTAGACATATCATTAGAATTACATGCTTAAAATCAAACAATTAAAAAAATCTTGAGGAAGCAAATATCTATGACTATAGAAAAAGACAGTGTTTAACATATGAGGGCAAAATCACTAAAGAGAAAGTTTAGATTAACATGGTAGAAATTTTAGATTAATTAGTATGATTTGGAATTTTAAATAGAAGATATAATTTTAGCTTTTCTTCCTAAACTTTTATAGCCCGTTGGTTGATGTAAAGGATGAGCATGAAATGATACACTGCAAAGAAGTGAGATTTAGCAGAAGCTTGTTTGGCTATTTAGTAGCAGTTTTAACGGCTACGAGTGTGGTTGATTGTCAATTTATCAAACCACTACTAAATGTATCGTAGCAAACCACATAAGTCAAAACGCTACTTTAGTGTAACAGCTTTCATAATCGCTAAAGCAATTATTGCCATGCATGACCTGGATGTCATGGTTTTTCAAAATTTTTTTAGCTTAAACTTTGTGGTTCTAAATCGGTGCTAGTTTTGAAAGTTTTCTAATTTCGGTGCCAACTATTGTAGTGGTTTCTGTAGTGGGTTTAATAACTGATGCAATATTTGAAATTTTGAATTTTCGACGATAAAAGTTGGCAGCATGAACTTTTAAAAATTTGTATAATTTTATTTTATAAATTAGCAAAAAAATTTATTTGTTTAATTGTATTTACAATAATATTATTGTTTTTATATTTTAATTTATATTTAAGAAATTTTAAATAAAAATAATTTGTTGTAAAGATGCAAAAAATGAATTTTAGATATAGATGATTATAGAAAAGAATTAGCACCTGAAAAAGTAGAAGAAGAAAATGTTAGTATATGAAAACAAAATTGAATATAAAAGAAAATAAATTACAATAATGCAAAAAACTAATAAAATAAAATAAAAACAAATAAGATAATTTTTACTGGGAGAGAGGAGAGAAACGTTGAAGGAGAGAAGAGGAAGAGAAGGAGCTAAAGCTGAGGGTAATTGGTGCAAATGAACGCGGGAGCTGGGGGTTGTAGCCTGCAGCGGTTTGTGTGCGGAATTTAGTAGCGATTTACAAACGAATCACTACTAAATATGGAATAACTGTATTTACAATAATTTCACTTAAATTTACAAAATCTTTTATACTGATAATGAAAAATTTATCTATATTAAATTAATGCACAGCATGAAATAAAATTGATTTTCTTCACGCATGACTTAATCCTTATCCATATGCCTAAAAAAATTGTTATTATATTATTATTAATATATATTAAGAAAGATATAAATTGGAATTTACATAAATATAAATTTAAAACTCCCATAAGTAATTGTAAGTGATCATCTCGTTAGGGGAAGAAAATTTTCAAGTTATTTGATTAAAATGGCTTATTGTCATGAATAATATCAGTATAAATACTATATTTTATATGTGCATTTTAAAATACAACAACAATAACAACAACAACAATCATCATCATAATAAAAATATTAAATTTAACTAAAAATAAAATTTTAATAATATAAATAAAATGAAAAGATTAAAATTTTTTTAATAGGAAATGATTTTATTGGCTAGGATTTTACTTTTTTGAGTTAATTAAAACAACCAAAAAAATATAAAAATATAAAAAAATTAATTCTCTTTTAAAGGGTTTGTTTAAAAAAGGAATATTAATTTTTTAAGAATTATATTGAAAAATAATAAAAATAATAAAATAATTAAAAATTAAAGTTAATCCTTTTTAAGGATTATTTTTTAAAAAAATATAATAAAGAAGAAAAATAAATTTAATTTGTCTTTAGAATCGATTATGAAAATAGAGAAGAAAATATTGCTTAAATCTTTCAAAAATTTTTTTACCAAATTATCTCAACAATCAAAAAATTATGAGAATTAATTTTTTGAAAATTGAATCTTCGAAAAATCTTTTAAATGTGGCTGTTTTCCTTAAAAAATATATATTTACACCTAAAAAATTATAATTAAAAATTAAAAGAAGAATAAATGTCCATTTAAATTTTAGTTGAGTACAATTAATTGTGAAAATAATTGACTAAATGAATAATTTTAATCATATTTGATTAAGCTATATCATAATCTATTTGAATACTGTTTCTTTAAAATTAATTTTAACAGAATTGAAGGTGTCTAAATAATTAGTTAAAATCAATTTTAGCTATATAAATTATTCTAAAGGACATTAATTTTTAAAATTAAATTATTAATATATTTGTATCTAATATTATTAAATTTTTTAATTTTTATTTAAGAAGTAAACTATATTATTTAAATTACATTTCTATAAAATTTTAAATTATATTAATAGTAACAATTTAATTTACGTAAATAAATAACTTAATATATCTTAGTTTAAATAAATTTAGTAAAAGAGAAAGATTTAATTCTTAAATACTAAACATTAATTTTATAATAACTAATGAAGATGGTAATATATAAATTGATTTCTAATGACATCATATATATGAGCTACATCTGACGAAGATGTTAAGCATTGTTTTAAAATTTTGACAATATAAAAAATATAACAATGTCACAAATAATGCAAAATCTGTTTCTCTCTGAACCTTTACAACAATCTTTGTAATGACCTTAAATTTTAAATTAAATTAAATTAATTTTTTTCTATCAATTAATATTTTATTTGAATTAGTTTTATGGTAATTACTAAACGGAGGGTGGTGTTTGACAAAACCTTATGCTAGCAATTTTTTTCAAGATTCAAAGTTTGATTTTTTTTAAAAGAGAAATGAAAGGAGTTTAATTTTATTTTTATTAAATTTTATGTCTTTCTTATAATTTTTTCTTGGAACTTTAGCTTTTGAAAAAAAATTGATTTTGCCCCAACAATCGATGAACCAATTTTATTGATGTTTGGGTAACTTTTCTCATTAATCGATTTCTGGCCCCTGAAGTCGATTAACGAAGCAATCCAAACAGGCACTAATAAGGTAGAGTGAAAAGCTGTTTGCTCCAGTGTTTCACTCAACCCTGAAGCGTCATGTTATCTTGGCAGGAGAGCAGACTTACGCACGAACGAGAAGGAGAGTAGGCATGGCAAGCAGCCCAGGTCATCCAAGGTCATATCTCCGGTTAGAACACAGCTGTCAGAGAGGAGTGGAAACATGCAAAAAGGCTTCTAACCTTTTGGCCTCTCATGAAAGCTCCAGAAAAGGATACCTTGTATCCGCTTCTATGGATTCAAGACAAGATTGCAGCACAAATGGAAAGTAACAAAGGTTGGTGGTGAAGAAGGATGGCTCGATAGGTGAAAATCTGACACCGTGTGAAGAAGGAGAAGCCGAATCGAGTTAGAGTCCCTATATTTAGGTGATCCAGGTATGATATTCATCTTCTATATAAAGAGGGGTGGGATAGAAGTTCGGAGGCTTGAAAAACAGAGAGAACCGAGAGAGTCA